GTCTTCACGAACTGCCCTGAAATACAATTCAAACATTAACAATGATTGTTATAAATGTAACGTGAGGCTCTTACATTCACAATGCTCATTTTGGCCTCTACAGCTCATTTTGGTGGTGAAGTGTGCAGGAAATTCTGCCAGACTGAAATTTAATCTTTGGTGAACAGTCTTCAAGAGTGCAAATAAAACTTTAAGTTTTAAGTACCTTTCAGACTCGCGTGAGGTTTCCACAAGCAACAAAGTCTACTTGAACAAACACTTCACTGCGTTTAAAGTTTAGAAAATAATATTTAAACAACTAAATGGATCTATATAATTTTACCTCAGATTGTAACCCAGACCGCTTCACGTGCTAATTAACTAACAGGAAATTATAAAATTAAACATTGGGAACTTAATAACGTTACAATACAAAACATTATAAGTCTATAGTTACATTTAATGTTAGATCGGCAAATTGACGAATAAAAAAATTCAACTTCAGCGTCCATCCAGCTTGGCAGATGATAACTTTTACAGACCGTTACAGTTTGAAATGAGGCACGTTCACAGTACTCTGGTTCTGTCTTACTGTTATTAATTTTAATTTCAAGGAATTTGTTTTATTATCATCTGTGTCTCATTTCAAATTGTGTTGGACCCCTCTATAGGTTGTTGTGTATAAAGTGTCCTCAGTGCAGAGTTAAACAAGATGACCTTGTAGGACATACAGGAAATATTTGATATTTATTTGATTTATTTTTTTAATATTAGATAAACTTTTGAATTTTACTAATTACTAGTCAGATGGTTCATAGCGCCTTGGAGATGTTCTTCAACAGGAGATCCGCTCCAGCTCTGCAGCACGGCCATCAGCATGGAAGAATATAGGAACAATTTGTCACGGAGCCAACAATATATAGTATACAATGTCAGGTTTATTAGAAATAAACAAACTAGAGCATAGGTGAAATACAGAAAAGAGAAATAGTAATATGGAAAACATACAAAAAAATCTTAAGATACCAGAATTCACATTTTTAGATTTTGCAGATGCATGAAAAATGCATATGAAGTTATTTAATAAGCTTTCTCAGATTACCTGTGATTCCTATATCTCTGTCAGCAGCTCCCATTAGAAATTTTCTTGGAACTTCCCCTCTGTTTTAGAGGTTTTTTTTCTGATGCTCCTGAAATCACAGTACAATTTTTATCAATATCTGTTTACAATGAAAAATCAAAAATTGTTTGAAACACAGTGGTTTGAAATCGTTTCAGCCCATTTTAGCCTGCATGTAAGTGACGTCACCGATAGAATACAGTGCAGACTTTTAGGTTAAATTAATTAGCTTCCATTTATCTATTGACAAATTACCAGCAAAACATTTACAAAGCTATCAAAACCGTTCATCTACACATAAGATGTGGTTAAAAGCCCAAACTTTCATTAATAAGAGCTCAAATCTATAGTTAGCCTACCTATTATAGTTAGCCTGTATAGTTAGTTAACGGTTGTGATGCTAACGGTCTTTTTCCGAAGACACTAAACCATTCTGTAAAGTAAATATTGAACAGAAATGTGTCAGTTACATGTAAGAAAGTGTCAGGAAGAGTTGTATTATGTCTGTTATTTTAGTGACTAAACTTACCTCAAAGCAGTGAAAACAACACTGAGAGACAGAGAGTAGTGATGTGTTGTTCGCGAACGAGTCGGCTCTAAGAGCCGATTCTTTGTAGTGAACGAGAAGAGCCGACTTCCGTCGGGGAGAGCCGAATCTTCGGCCGGAGCCTTCTATTTTAGCCCAATTTAGCTATTGTGAATGGTTTGTATGTTGGTAAGCAATTTTTTATTTACTGTTTTCATAAAAGCCTTATTTTTATGCATTTTTTCGTTACAAAAAAAAAAAATACACATGCGGCTAATCACATGGGAGGACAGACTAGGATCACACCATTATGTGAAAGAAGGAATGGGGGCACAAGCTCCGAAGATAGCGAGTGTAGTGGTAAAGGCCAGGTACACAGAGCGACAGAGAGAGGCGGGGGATCCGGATTTAAACACAAGCGCGTTGGTTAAGGTAGGAAGACACTGCATTGTTGCAACATCGGTCCCCTCAGAGAGAGTCTTCTCACAAACAGGGCAAATAATCACAGAGAGGAGAAATCGCGGTAACGCTTTAGATTACAACCCGCAATGTACTGCATAAGTAAACAGAATTTACAGCGTAACTTTTTTGTAATTACAGTGTACCTATTCAGTACCTCCGTGTAGGTATAAGGGAACAATATGCAAAGTCTGGGGAATAAAGGAGTAATAATCTGTAAAATTACAAATTATTTCTACTGTAAGTATTTTGAAACTAAGGGGTACCTATTCTAATTCTTTATAGGTACACTATAATTACAGAAACGTACACCATAAATTCAGTATACTTACATAGTTCT